CCACTGCCTGCTGCTCAGTGTGAGGTGGGGCAGAGGGGGCCCGACTGCCCACTGACCCGAGAGGAGCAGTCACGGAACTAACCACTCTGAACCCTCTCCTGCTCTTATCTTATCAGCAGTCGTCCTCCTCCCATGGTGGTTTTCTTCTGTGAGTGTTGAGCTGTGGCTGCTCCCAGTCATTTCTCAGACATTTTATTTCTATAGGCTTTCTGTCATCCAAGAATTCCTAGAACTCTCTGGTCAGCTGATAATACTATTTTGTGGTTTGTGGTGGTGGTGGTATTTGTTTGTTTTCAGTGCAGTTTTTGGGTTTTAAAATGTCTTTCGCATCTTTAGCATGGCAGACAAAAATCCAGCCATAAAAGGGCTCAGCCCAACAGGTGCTGCTTCGCCTTTGATCCTCATCTCCGTCCAGGCCCCTCTGATGTTGACTTAGCTAGGCTGAGTAACTTCAGCTGGTCTAAGATGGAATTTCTTCCTCACAGATAGATGAATAAATCCATAATCCTTCAGAAAATATATCTTTTCCATCATTTTACAGGATTTAGAGTAAGAGGTGAGATCCAACATTTTCATCCTATCTCCTCCCACCACTAATAATTAATTATTTGCCATGACACAAGTTCGTGCTGTATCAAAAGTGAATTGTGTTATGGGCACCTTGTCTTACTTGACCTTTAATAGGAAGGATAACAGAGCATAAGCCCCATATGTCCCAGGCCACAGAACAAGGACTGGTCCGTGCTATTGCTACCATCTCCCTTGGGCAGACCCTGAATTCAACATGAATTGTGAGGACTCATCTGATGAGCCATATTAAACATCCACCCTGATAATAATGCCATATATGATAAAAATGCTACATTTGTGCCATATTTGTGGTGTTTCAGTGCTTCATGTATATTAACTCATTTGGTCTTTACAACAGTTCTGTTTATTATTCCCTTTTATAGATGCAGAAACAGGGCATTAAAGCAATCAGGCACCTACCGTGTTTCCCCAAAAATAAGACCTAACTGGAAAATAAGCCCTAGCATGATTTTTCAGGATGCTCTTAATATAAGCCCTACCCCAAATATAAGCCCCAGTTAAGATCATCAGCCAGACATAACTAAATAAATGTAGATTTTTGTACATGAATAAATGAATAAATGTAGATTGTTGGAGCAAAAATTAATATAAGACCCAGTCTTATTTTCAGGGAAACACGGTAGGAAGTTCATGATTTAGATCTCAAACCCAGTTTCTGCTTCTAATCCAGAGTGCCCTTTGCGCTACCAGATGTTACGTCTCTTGAGAGAAGAGCAGTCTAGAGTTATGGATATGTAAGCAAATAACATTCTTCACAGCATATTGTAATTACCACAGCAGGAGGACCATGTGCCATGAAGAATAAAGGTTGGAGAACTAGTATTACCCAAGAGAGATGACATCTGAGCTGGGCGTGAAGCAGAAAAAAATATTCTAGGCAAAGAGAAGAAGCATGTGAAAAGTCTCGGAGGCATGAAAAAGCCTAGCGTGTCTGAGGAATGGAGAGATGTCTGGCATGGCTGGAGAGAGATCAGAGCCCTGAGGGAAGGTGTGAAGAGAGGCAAGACAGACGCGTCTGGAAAAGGACATTGAGATCTGCTTTTGAAGAGCCTTGCGTGATGACGAGGGAGTGCTCCGAGACAGATTGAGTCTGTGCACTCAGGGGTTATCTGGGAAGAAATGACCAGGAAGCTCTCAGAGCTCAGAAAAAGGATCTGTTTGAAGATAAAGATTTAGGTCTCAGCATTATATAGATGAAATGCGTGGATTTTTCCCAGGGAGAGAAGGCAGCACAAAATGGAAACAGGGAATGCAGAACCTTGGGACACAGCACAATTCAGGAGATGAACAAAAGAACAACAGACCAAAAGAGATATTGGGAGAAATGTTTAAGAAAGCAGGAAGAGAGGCCAGGAGGGCAAAGGATGGAGGAGAAGCGAGCTTCAGGCAATGCTCGGTGGAGTGGAGCAGCGCAAGGCTGAGTGGGTTTCTGAAACAGCTCGACTATTGCTGTCCTTGCCTCTGTTTTTCCACGCTTTGGTGCAGATCCTGAGTCTGCCTATAATGGCTCCAAGGACAGCCTTGAACCGCTATGACCAATGTTTAATATGCTGCATTGAGGGTCTGACTGAGTTCTTTATCATATCTTTTAACTCTTGGACAGTACATAATCATTTTTTTTAATATAATGGGATTTGTAGGTTCTAAAGATTTTTAACCTATACGAGTTGATCAGTATGGATTTCATATTGATATTACGTAAACACTCTCCCTAAACTCATAGAGATCTGCTCCCAAAATGCCAACTTTGAGATTTGAGAGCAAAATTCTAACCCTTTCTTTTCCCAGCTGAGTTTTCCTCCTCCCTCCAAAACAGCCTGTCCCATGGAGGTGAGAACAAGCCTTGGCGGCTGTTTTCTCTTTAGCCAGGCTTCTATGAGGGTCCATGCTATTCGCAGCTGATGTCAAGTAGCAAGAACAGCAGGGCAGCTCCTTGTGTTGAAGAGCCGTAATCCTATTATGCCTACCTGAGACTTTCACCTCAGCTGCCTCCATTGTAGTAGAGAGACTGAGGTGACTCAATTGACTTTTAAATCCCCAAGGATCTAGTTTCAAAACCCCCATGTCTAAGTCAAGTAGGAGATTCGGCCCCCTGCTGAGAAGGCCTGGCTTCTTCAGAGCCCTGTGCCCATAGCTTTTGCTTTGGTGTCTTGGGGGGCCATACTTTCTGAGTTCCACCATTAAGCTCTGGATTGATGCTTGCGTCCTTCAGTGGTGATCCTCGGCAGGAGGTGACCCTGGTTGGCATCTCCCTGGGTTACGGTCCTGGATTTAGTGCCTGTCTTTGTATGGTCAAGACTAGGGAATATATCCTCTGTTGATGCTATAAGAGAAGGATTGCTTTTGTTCATGTTAGAACTGTCCTTGAGAAGGTAAAGGGAAGGTGTGCAAAGAGCTTTCTTCCCTATTAGCCTCCACTTGATCTGTCATCTCCCCCGTATTATAACATAGTTGCAAAATTATTTAATTAACTATTTTAGAATATTTACAATTCAGTTTTGATTGCTCGGAGCACTTATCTCATAATTAAGTAAGTTTCGGATGTAATTTGCCGGCCCAGAGGCACTTTATTTGTAAGTTTAGCTTCTTGTGCAAGCGTTTGAGTTTTGAATATCACTTTGCTGGATTTTTCTTTTAACTTACACAAATAAATATGCTGGTGCTTTCACATTTGTTGCTTCCTTTAGCTCTCACATCTCTCTTAGGAGGGTATTGTCCTCAGTTTACAGATGAGACTAAGGCTCTGATGTCACACAGGGGTTTTGAAACGAGGATCCTTGAGTATTTAAAAGCCAGTTGAGTCACCTCAGTCCATCTACTAGTGAGGGGTTGCACTAAGGCTAAAACACCATCTTGAGACTCGAAATCCAGTGCTCTGTCAGTGCATCACCACTCCCTGAATTTACTTGACCAAGAACACTTTTTTTTTTTTTTTTTAATTTTTTAGCTGAGCCATCCCGCCACCTGTTGGCAGCTCACGGCTGCTCAGCTCGGGCTGACTCGAACCACTGTTGCTCAGAGCTCAAACTCTTGAGCNCGGCTGCTCAGCTCGGGCTGACTCGAACCACTGTTGCTCAGAGCTCAAACTCTTGAGCGAGCTCTTAACCAACTGAGCCACTCAGCCGGCCCAAGAACACTTTTTAAATGTAATTAAGGATGGAACACCATCAGTAGCTCATTAAGGTTTAAATGTTTAATATACAGTAGCATTCATAATACCATAAATTGTTGACATTTTATTGGGTTGTTGGAAAAGTCATGACACATTTTTGCAACGAAAAACATAGAAAAATACATCATGACTTTTCAGACATCCCAATAGAACAAAATGCATAAAATACAATGGTGATTATGTAATAGGTAACATACACAAATGCAACAGTTAGCTGAGAGCAAATGTTGCCTGCCCATCAAGTGGAGATTGACTTCCTAATACTCTCAGAATTAAGAACCAATTTGTTTGTTTTTAAGTTTCAATAACATATTAGTCAGGGTTCCTTATATTGCAGAAAAATAGAAAACCTACATTACTGACCAATCATATCTATTATCATTGATCTATAATTAAACAATATTAGTGATTACAGAATAATTATAGACATGAAAGATGATTAGTAACCCTCTCTGTTCCCCAGTGTCAAATTGTCCATAACACCCCCATACCCCATCCTTCAAGGCAGATTATTGGATACCAGTTTTATAATAAATTATAGGGGAGAAAAAACTTAACTAGTACGCTGATTTATATCTCATGGAACAGTGGTCATCCATGGAAGAGAGTTTGGGAAATATAAGTGGATACCTCCCTTCTTTTCCTTTCTTCCCAATCCCAGACATATGATTTGCCTTCTGCACCTCTCATGCCCTCACCTCCTCAGGGACAGGTAAGAAAATGCGGAGTCTGTGTACATCCTCTATTTGAGTCCTGTGATAAAAGCATATTACATAACCCAAAACATAGTGACAACAGCGTTATTATCCTGTTAGGCTAAGCTGCCACAGAAAATCTCAAGGAATGTGGACCAGTCATCCAGTAATGAAACCAATTGTACCTAGTTGTGTTAAAAGACAAGTTTTGTTGTTATTAAGATGGTAATGAAAAGCAATTTTTTAGAGCCATCATCTACAAAGTGAGAGATAAATTAGCCAACGACAGCGTGAGCGGAGAAGCTCTTCCCTCTGCGGTTGGAAGGGAAGGGGGCTGTGTGCGCAGTCTTCCGATAAGAAACACATTCATTTCAAAAATTCCTTTAAGGGTTACAATGGCATAATCTCCCCCTCTGCCAGTGTATCTTTTTATACAGATTTCTCCTGAGAAACCTGTGAACACGTTACTGACCCTTGAATCTATTTCAAGCTTTAGTGATGAACTGTTTCTCATTATTTCTTTGTTACTTTCTTCTTTGTAGACCTGGCCAGAGGACCGTGGATGATCTAGAGATTATCTATGAAGAGCTCCTTCACATTAAAGCCTTATCCCATCTTTCTACCACAGTAAGTGGCCTCTGACTGGTCACGGTCAGAGGGACTTCGATTTAAACGTACTGTTGGGACTGGAGGAGAGTATTAGGGCATGGGGGAGGGGCAGGTATATCTGAGTTCTACCTCATAAATCACCCCTACTCTTTCTCATGAGATGCTCAGGAAGTTACACCCAAGAACAATCAGTGAAAGGGAATCAAGTATTGTCACATTGTTCTTAGTTGCCCATGAGCCCTAAACCCCAAAGCAGTAAGATGTGAGTAGGATTGGAACTTGTGCTTCATCCATCCAAATAGGAATCTTGGAATCTGCACACTTAGGCAAGAGAGCCAGTCCTTAAAAGGGAACCTGAAACCCTTCCATGAACTACAGAGCCAGAGAGAGGAAGGAGAGGAATGAAGATGGCCTGTCCTGGCCCACGTGTCCAGCTTTGCCCAGGTTGGCTGCCCTATTGAGAAAGGAGGCAGAAGGTTCAAGAGAGCGTGACTGTAGATAGGTTAGGACACGTAGCAGTACCCACTAGTGAAAAATGGTCCGATGGCTGTATCTGACTCTGAACTTTTATGTGATTAGGATATTTAGGAAGGCGAATTTAGAAAATTGGCCTCTGAATAGAGACAGAAACACCTCCCATAGAAGGAACATAGGAATAGGATTTCCAGGCAACACAAGTCTCCCATATGCTAATAATTCAATAATAACAGTAAAAAGTTGTTTCAATAGTAACAAAAAATGTTCATAGATTATATACCCTCAGCAATATCTACATTCCTAACTTGCCTTCATTCCCAGATCACTAGGTGATGCTATGCTCTCTCGTCGTAGCAGTGTCTGTGTTCCCTGCTCTGGGGGGCAGGGCTCAGGTCTCTGCTGAGAACAGTGAGGCATTTGCCACAGCCCCAAGCAGAAGGGTTCCGAACCCTTCCCCTTTCAACCAAACAGAGCTGCCTTCACATCCCTCCCTGCTGCACTACTGGGAGTCCAGAGCTTGCTCACCTCCATGGAGAGGTGTGGCCCAGCCCAGGCCCCGCTCCAGCCCACCACTGCCCTGTCATCCTCACTCCATCCATGGTTGGGTGTGTGTGTCAGGGGTGGGAGGGAGCCCTTGCCTATATAGTTCCCACAAGCTCATGCTGTAGAGGAAAGTGAGGGAAGACCCCGTTCCCTACCTGTGCTCCAGCTCCCCAGCATGCCTCGCTTCTGAGTTCCCCAGGTGGAGTTGAGAGGATTGTGGGTAGTCTCCTCTTCACCCTTAAACTCCAGACACCAAGCACTGGGGAAATCTCAGGTTACTTGGTTCTTCAGGAGCTAGAGCCATATTTGGGACCATAATTTGGAATTAAAAAATTTGTTTAGTTATCTAGGAAATAAATCTGCTCACACATTTACGCTTCATTACTCAACTTCAAGATACTGAATTTTCCATGTTTGCTGTGATGCATTATGTGGGATGCAGGGAAGGGGCTCTGATAGCAAAAGAGTCATGTGATATCGTAGATGTTCTCACCCAAGACAGAAGTCGGCTAGTTCATACATGTGAAACCATGTTTTAAATGGTCTCTAGGGGTGTTGTCTTATATGAATCAGCTTACAAAATAGCTTTTGTAAGAGCTTTAAGAATCTAGTGGCAAATCTAGTGCGAGTGGGTCTAGATGAGAGCAGCAGCCAACAGAGCCGGAGATGGTTGTGTGGAAAGAAGGGTACAGTTAGCACTGAGTAAAAAGGGAATGTGCCTCCCCACCCCCAAATCTTGCATTTCTCTTTCTTTCTCATTTTTTTTCTAGGTGAAACGGGAGTTAGCAGGTGTTCTAATCTTTGAGTCTCATGCCAAAGGAGGAACCGTGTGTAAGTGAAAGTTGTCACAGGACATTTCGCCGATGACACGGGAGCCTGCTGCAAATGCTCCCCTTTCTTGGGCCTGGGTCAGACTTTGCAGGACTTCCAGTGGCACTTTTGTTTTGGGGGACCCGTGATCACTCCCAGCACATGTCTGTTATTCTGCAACATGGTGGTTTTCTGGTACCAACGTGGGAGCAGTTACCAGCCTGCATCTCCACTGGCTCCTTATTTACCGGCTCAGGCAGTGTTTAAAAGGGGCGGGATGAAGTTGCTGCTCTGCAGGCAGGACCCTAGGCAGCACCCTTTCACAAGGACCTCACTTCAGTTTATGGCTTAAGTAGAGCTAATCCACCTCTTGAGATTGCTAGTTAGAATGATAAACTATCCTGTTTTCTTTTTCTTCTCTCACTTCCACCATCAGCTCCAAGCCTGAGAGAATTTCTTTGACCCAAATATTTATAAAGTACTAATATATAGGATCTCTCTAGAATCCAGGTTGTAGTTTAGTTCTATCATCATATTTGGAAGGAAGAAGCTGAAACTTGGTAATAATAAATGTGAACAGAATTATGTAGGCTAGCATTTCCCACTAGCCTGCAAAGTCCTTCTTGAAAAGCAGGGTTAGTGGTCTACTCAGGTCAGGAAATGCCACCTTCCCCTATCTTTCTTGGAGAACCGTAAGACGCATCAGCATGCTAAGGTTCTCAGAAGTTCTGCAATAAAAAAAATGTTCACTCCATTTCAAATGATGCTCCCTAAACCTAGTGAAACATAGAACACTTTTTTTTTTAAGATTTTTATTGGGGAATTGGGGGGATGGGAACAGTGCTGGGGAATTGGGGGAAGGGGAACAGACAAGCTGCTGTCGTTTTGTT